GGCTCCGCCGGCCCCGCACGGCACCGCGCCGCACCCCTTCGCCCCGCACAGCGACGAGACCCCCGGTGCCGGCGGGACGAAGCCCGTCCCCACAAGGACCCCGCGGAGTGGCGAGGGGGCTTGGGGCCCGGGACCCCGTGGCAGCGTGCGCCACGCGCGGCATCGCGTCCCCTTTCGTCTCCTCCGGCCATCTCCTCTCGCCCCGCTCGACGGCGAAAGGCCGACCCGAGCCTCGTCGCACAAGCTCGAATCCCCGACTGCGCCCGGGGGGAAGCCCGCTCCTGAACTTTACCCCCTGGATGCTTCTGCTCCTCCGCCGACCCCCAGTCGCTAAGCTATCTTTTTATAACAGCAGGTCTTGTTATTCGTCCCTCGGTACACGATCTCAAATGGCATCGTGCCTGCTCCTGGTAGCCCGGCCCTCCTCCGGATCCACGTCCCAGCTCTGAGTCCCGTACAGACGTCGTTGGCGCGCGGCGTCTTCCCCCCAAAGTCACGACTGGCGACACACACCTGATCTCTGACGAGCACCGCCGTCCACCTGGACAACCGAGCCTAGCCCCGGCTGCCCTTCGCTCGGCTCCCAATCCACCACCCGAGTCTCGTTTTAATCCCCCGCCTTTCTCCTTAATACTTCTCCCCGCTGAGGATCTTTATCTGATTCTTCGCTTAAATCTGGAGATCGGGTCTGCTGCATTGCCCTTGTCTAAGGCGGCAGGTCTCTTATCAAAGATGCTGAGTTAGTCTGACACGATTTACCTTCAATACAACCCTGTTGCGTTTCATCCTGTTTTCCATCTGCCGCCAAGTCTTTTAATGACTTTTCCCTTCAAAATCTGCCCTCAGACCTGGAAGTCAACTACTGGGCCTGTAGGTTCCCTTTTCTGAATGGAGGCTCTGCATTCGCTATTCTTCGGTCGTTGGGGAATCACCCCGACGAGACCGAGTCATTCAAAATCCTTGCCCTTGAGCGAGTTCACGTGCCTTTTTTTTCCATGCTCTGCACTGGAGAGGATTTGGCCCTCCTACCCTGGGTCCCCCTCGGTTGTAATTCCCGCCACCCTGCCCTTTTCCCCTCATCATCATTTTGACTGGAAAATGGAATCATAGCATTTTTAGCATTGTCTAGTTTAATCCTCACCAGCTCCACTTCTTCCCCTCCTTGTCCCCCAAAGCTGACAAACCTCTTCTGACATGCTCTAATTTTCTTTGCAAAGTGCAGCTCAGCAAAGCTTTGGGCCGTTCTCCCTCCATTGCGGCATGCTTTGGTCTCCTCGATGGAGCTCCCCTTGCTAACCACTCTCTGTTTCCACTCCCTGATGGGCTGCTTGTTCGTCCTTCCCTGCCAGCGTTCTCCTCTTGCTTGACTTCTGGCTGAAAGTCACTACAAACCTGATCCCCATCAGCCTCTTGAGCTCTTCAGTTCAACCTACTCCACTAGTGGAGCTTCTCCACATTTATCCTCTTGAAATCCAAGAGGCCTTGCTCAGAGCCCAACTTTACTGCATCTGGCAGTTCAGAATGAACTGAATCGTCTCGCAGTCACTCCAGCCAGGCTTGTTCCGATGACCAAGTCTTCCATAAGATTTTGGCCGCTTACTGAAAGGAAGTCTGAAGTAGCATTGCTTTTTATTGGTTCGATGCCTGGCGCAGGCCCCTCGATGTCGTTTTGTACCTTGGCCAGCTCCGTATTTCATGGCACCTTGCGCAAATTAAGAGCCTTTAGCTCCCAGCCCCACCTTCCAACCTTGAGGTCTAAGGTGGGGTAGGATCTGTTGTGCTAGTTTCACTACATCTAAGAAGGCACCGAAGGGCTATTAATGGACCTGAAGCTCCCAGTGACAGGGGGTGCCAAAGAGGATGGAGCTGGACTGTTCTCAGCGGTGGCAGATGACAGAACAAGAAGCAACAGTCTCTAGTTGCAGCAAGGGAGGTTTAGGTTAGATATTAGGACACACCTTCACACTAGGAGGAGCATTGGAACAAGTTATCCAGAGAGGTGGTGGCATCTCCATCCTTGGAGGTTTTTAAGGCCTGGCTCAACAAAGCCTTGGCTGGGGTGATATAGTTGGGGCTGGTGCTGCTTTGAGCAGGGGTTGGACTAGATTTGACCTCCCGAGGTCTCATTTTCTATGTTATGTGACAGCCAGTGATGACAGTCCTCTGGGGGAAGCTGGGACAGAAACATGGATGGAGTCCAGATCACAGGAGCGTGGAGCTGCTGAGAAGCCTGGACCTGGGAGGCAATGGCAGCCACACGGTAGGGCCGTGAGAGGCTTCGGACAGAGCTTTGGATCCGGAGAAGCTTCGGACGCTTCGGGGTCTGAAGCAGCACGTCCGGGTCAAAGCGCTGGCCTCGTTCGGCTTCCTGAAGCAGTTCGGCGCTTCCGAAGAGCTTTGGAGCTGTCTTGGAGATCCGGCCATAGGGTATAATGGGAAAACAATAAAATATCTAGAACTTTGTTGACATTTTTTGTCCGATTTGGATGAAATTTTCAGGGGGGGTAGATTTTGCAGAGAGGATGAAGCCTGCCAGGTTTCAAAAAGATCGGTGCAAGGGTTTGGGGGGAACTGCACTCCAAATTCTTGAAAGCAAAACATGTCATGTCTAGGCGTTACAACATAGCGAGGTGAAAACTGCAGGGGTGGTAGCTCTTACTGAGGCCACAAAGCCTGCCAAGTTTCAAGAAGATCGGTGTAGGGGTTTGCGGGGAACTGCCCCTCAAGCTGTGGACAAGCAAAACTCGGGACTGACGGTCTCTGGCTTGGGGCGGGGAGGGGAGACACTGCTGCAGGCCTGGCTGCCAAGCTGCTGTGTTCCCAGTTACCAATCAATCATGATTCACCAGCTCAGTACACAGGACCTAGCTACTACATAATGACTTAATGAACATCAATTAGCACCTACAAAACCAGGCTAAGGAGAGGAAAGAATCAATACAAACAATGAACTGCCTCAAGACAAGACAGTCTTGGCATGAATTTTGCCCTCAGCAGCTCGGGGTGCAGGGCACCAGAGCCCCCCCCTGGCAAGCCCAGCCCCTTGCTGTCCCACACCCTGCAGCCAGCCCTTCCACAGCCCCTTCTTCCACTCCCTAACACTCCCTGAAAAGAAAGACAAGACAGGTTATTTCTAAAAAGACATGGAAAGCAGTGTCTCACCCCAAGCGGATACACCTCTTGCAGATGCACAGTATTCACAGCTGCAGAACGAGCCCAGCATATGCAGACAGCCCGCGAGTCCGTTACACAGGATACTGTAACTCAGAGCTGCCTTTCCCTTAACTTATGGCAATGCTGGCAGCTTATTTTTAGCATCTTGCTTTGGAATCAAAAGTGTCAGCAAATACTGGGAGTCTCTTCCTCTGGCCCAGCGAGAGTGGGTGAAACAGCCGGTCCCACGTTCCAGGTATGATTCAAGTCCACTGTGGAGCAGTTATTTGGAGAGAGACTCCTTCAGTTTTGTCTCTTTCCTCCACCAAGTATTTGTTTCCCCTTTTTCCTTCTCAGTCCTCTCGTTCTGCTCTGAAAGCACAGACTCTTCCTGTCTGAGCTTCAGGGAGCTCTCACAGGCTTCCAGCTGACCGTGGCTTCAGGGGACACGCAGGAGTAAGAATTTACTTCCAAATCCTTGGCCCTAACTGACTACAGAGGTATGCAGACACGCTGCCCGGTTGGCTACTGTTGTTGCCCAAAGCCGGGATGCCACAGCGTGGGCAGACTACATCTGCAATGCATTCCAGGCTATACAGGTGGATCCTGTCGTCCAGCACTACGGTGATGGGCGTCATGTAAGGATAAGGACCTGGTGGGATGGGACAGACCACGTCAGTGCTTCCCAGGCCCTGGACATGCCAAGTCTTCCATTTCTAGCAGGTGGAAAAAACATTTAGCATCCCCCTGCTGTCCCTGGCTACCCAGCCAGAACCCTCTGGTGACTCCCATTGCTGGGCAGTGTTAGGCAGGAGCAGGGAGAGGTGCGAGGGCACCAATGGAGGGAACGCTTTCATTAGTCCTCATAGTAGCCCGTGGGATGGGGGCCAGTTGGAGGGCCCAGCATTGGCCATCAGAAGATCTGAGTGCTTGTCCCAGCTGTGCCACTGATCTTCTTGGAAGCACCACTTCCATTTTGTCCATTTAAATGGTAAGCAAGCAGGGTGCGCCCTGGTCTCTGCATGCCTGCCTGGATGCTGCCGGCTACAGCAGGGGGGCTGATCTCGCTCAGGACTTGCAGCCCATATTGCAATGTAGCTAAGAGTAATTAGACTGCCTGCAGCCAGTGCAGACAAGGCCATGGCCAAGGAAATTATTCACTCAAGTGGGTTTTCTCCAGCTGGTCCCATCCTTTCATTCCTCTCCCCCTGCCCCCCCGCCCCCCATGTTGATCATGCCTCCACGCAAGCTGCAGCCAGGCTTGTGCCCAGGGTGTAATT